TCTTGTAGATACAATGTAGAGATGGGCATCTGGGATATTTAAACAGATTAGGTGTTTGGTTTGCATCAAAGAATGAGGGTTTGACACTGTAATGCTGATCAAGGTAGAAATTAAATTTGTAATTCTGTTTTAACACTACAGAATGTGCTATGCTACTGTGATTAAAAAAAATTAAAAATAGAACACAAGTACAAGTGAATGGTAGACATTACTAATAAACAGTTAGATATAGTAAATGCATTATTTTAATTCCATGTTTAACTAAAGTTGAACTAAATTCTTCTAATCAACATTAAATATTTTTTATCCTTAATGTCCAAAAAAGGTTGGTACCATGGCAAGATCTTCCAAGCAGAAAAATGCTTCAGTAGGATATTGGATTAAAATCCATGCAAACAGACCTGCTAACGTGTCTCAGCCTTGTCAACTCTAAGACTATGTCTATCACTAAGGCCAACAAGACTGAAACTTGTTAGTAAGTGTGTTTGTATGGATTTTAACCTGATGTCCTAATAAAGCCTTTTGATGTTTGGAAGATCCTGCCATGGTGCTGACCTTTTTTTGGACATCACTGATATTGATCAGCCTACAGGGGCATGAGTCTGAGCGCACCAATATCTCTGTTACCTAAATTGCAACTAGAGTTTGAGCGCAGTGTGTTTCTTTTTTTTTTTTTTATCCTTCTGCTACTACCCTTAGCAAATAGATAGGAAGGTATAATATACTGTAGTTACTTGTTTTAGCTTTTTTTAGATGTCTTCCTGGTTTGTGGCGGCGGTCCTACATCCCAGGAGTCTTCATTTGCATTTGTTTTCTTTCATCTAAAAAAGGGGAAGAGCTTTTTCAGCTAAACACACCCTCCTGTCTGCATGCCTGAGCTAAGGGAATATGGATTCCAGGAAATAAAATCTAAAAGAATCAACTGCCCTTACTCAAGATGGCCGTAGATGTTTTTCAAAGTGATTATTCAACAAAATAAAGCATGGAGACATGGATGGATGGGTGAGTTTGCTTCTAATAATAAAAACTAATTAAATTAAATTTTCAGTTTCTGGTGCTCAGATACAGTTAAGTTTTGCTTTAGGACTTCCTACTCTTAAAGTATATATAATCACAATCATAAAAATCTCATACAAGAATGCATATTTATTTAATTTCAAAAGTCATTTTCAGTACTTTTAAACTTGCAGTTTTTTCTAACATAATCCTAGTTTCCCAGTTGTGCTTTTAGGTTGTCACCCTGTCACTCTGGGGGAGAGAGATACCAATATGCCTCTAATGATGTAATATGTTAAAACTTAAAGATTTATTAAAAGAATATTGTTATACATGTTAATATTGCACTTACATCTTTCCCATATGGACAAGGTCAATGCGACAGCATAAATCCATGACATCCTTAAATGTACCATACCCCCTGACATTGGATCCAAGGGAGAAAGGAGTGGTCAGTCCCTAGTGGTCTGGAGGTGAAGGAGGTTGGAAGTGTTGGTAGAATGTGGATGGATTATCATATACATGCAATATGATATCAATCGGGAGGTGAGAGTTCTGTGAGCACTGAGGTGGCACTGTATTCTGTGAAGTTGACAAGCACAATGTTTAGCATTTGGATGTTGGATTATCACCATCACAGTTTTGACTTTATGGACTGATACTACTGATCTTTATGTTCATTTGTACCTCAAACTGATTTATTCATGTTACACAGGATTTATGCTTTTTGGATGGTATTTTATTTATGTCACTAGTGGTTATTCTTATACCTATGCTTACTTTTTATATATATATATATATATATATATATATATATATATGCACAATTTTTATGGTCACATATTGATAGCAGCGCAGCATCACACACTGCGCTACCATTGAAGTCACATAAATGTGGGAACACATTTTGATGCTAGTAAAATACACGCATCTACTTCACCAGTATCTGTATTTCATTTTTGAAGCCATCATTTTATTTTATTTTTACACTCATCACTTAGGTATTCTCTTTTAGGGTAGCGCAGGAGTTACACATCTCATTATACAGGCATGTATACAATGTAGGCAATCTACACTGAGAAATGCCATTGCTAAAGGGCATGCATGTAGACATGCTGTGGTTGCAAAGAGGCTAAAATGAAACAAATGAAGAACAAATGAAAAAATGCATTATACTGAAACTATATTTAGGACACACGGGTTGATTTTCTAAAACTGGAGAGTGCAAAATCTGGTGCAGCTGTGCACAGTAGCCATTCCGTAAATTAACCCCACTGTGCTATAATGATCTAAATTGTATTCATTTAGGGTTAACATTTAGTTAAACTGTTAATTTTTTTGTTTTTCATTAAATATTGATCTTATTTGATGTTTTACTGCACTTTAGCTTAGCATTTAAAGCGCTAACAAAATATATTTTTTAGTTTTTGATAACATTTTTGCCAAGTTTTTATTTCTGTCTGTGACTTGATTGCCAAGATTTTTCCTGACTTTTTTTCAGTATTTTAAGGGAAAAAATGGGTTGTAGGCAGTTTTTGACTACACATAGACTATAACATTAGTATAACTACAAGTAAAATACAGTAACACCGATCAAATAGTATAATAGGTTAAATACATGAAATCAGTATACTAAAAAACCATAAACTGTTTTCATGCATAATGTCTGATGAGTAAAGTAAAAGGAAGAGGAGATTAAAATCAAGAATAGTTTACAACATGCTCAAACCAGTTAAAATTATTTGCATAAACACAGGTGAAGGCTTAGCACAGCAGTTTTAGCTGATAGGCAGACATGCCCTTGCTTCTGTACTTTTGTTAATGTTTTTTCTGGATACTTTATGTTGTTAGATAGCAAAACTATATTTTAAAACTTTAGCATTTGAAAATATTAAATAACAGTGATAGATTTATGTCAAGTAGACAGACTATGGGATTCATTTACTAAAACTAAAGAGTTCAACATCTGGTGCAGCTGTGCATGGTAGCCAATCAGTATCTAACTCCAGATTGTTCAATTAAGCTTTGACACCTGGAAGCTGAGTGGTTTCTATTCAGTGCTGCACCAGATTTTGCACTCTCCAGTTTTAGTAAATCAACCCCCATGTCTTTTAAAGATTCTGATTCTCTTATCTTCCTGCAAGTCTACTAGATGGTCTTGTCTGTCTGATTGAAATCAATAAACTCTTTTCAGTATGTAGTAAAGTAAAATACCCAGAATGCATCTGGTATTTTGAGGTCCCATGAGTTTTAGTTAGGTTAATCTTGTGTGATGAAGCTCAGGAGCATTATTTTCTACAATTTAGGGGGGCATTTTTCAAAATAATAATGACATTTACCCTATTGGTAATTTTAGTTATAGTTTCACCTAAATCATGCAATCAGTAAAAGTGACAAGCAAGAAAAAGATTACCATATAATAAACATTACTAGGAAAAATGTGCCCTTGGTGCTGTCATGGGCTTATATATATATATATATAAAAAAAACATAATTCATAAGCTATCTGATGTAAAAGTATAAGCCCAGTGAGACACTTCAAACACACAGGTATTTTCCAAGTCCCCTTAACAATGATCATTTAAACAAGAGACGCTAACAATTGCTGACCAACCAGGTGGCCACACAAAGACAAGTTAAAATTAACCAAACGCTATGTTGACTGAGTCTAAATGTCCTACTCAGAACTGATAAAAAGAGACACAATGGTTTCACACAGCCCTGACCAGGGATAAACTGGCCAGTGTTGACCAATAGACGTCCAGATGTCATAAATGTTCATTGTGAAGACACATCATAAATGTACCTGGATTGTAAGAGAAATAAAACATATGGCAAGAGAGAATTGGCTCACATTTGCAAAGCGCCAACCCTTAACCAAAATGACAATACAAGCAACTCTTCCATGTTTGAATTACGGGAATATTCTCCATCAACCATCTCCATTATCATTGATAGCAACCATATTCATAATCATTGATAACCTCAGAAATATAATTCCCATCTAATGATGTTTAACCCAATGCAAACCAATGGACTTTATCAAGAATGATATCTATGAAAGCCACTTTGATATTTCATCATGAAACATATTTCTTTGATGCAATACTAATTAAATGTTTCTGACAGCAGAAAATAAAATCTTCATTCATGGAACACGACTGTCTCTAGCGGACTGGTAAAATAACATCTAAAACTAACAGCGTATTCTGACTGTCCAATCCAAAAGACAATCAACATTTACTATGGGTGGACCCAACAGACAATGGATCACCACAGTATTTATATGGAAAAAAATAAAGAAGAAAATGAGAAAAAAAAGGACCATGACTTGCTAAGAAAACACTTTTGTGGCTGACACACTTTTGATTTTTTTTTTTAACCACTTGCCTACCGGGCACATTTACCCCCTTCTTTACCAGGCCAATTTTCAGCTTTCAGCACTGTCGCACTTTAAATGGCAATTGTGCGGTCATGCAAGATTGTACCCATATGAAATTTTTATCATTTTTTTCTCACAAATAGAGCTTTCTTTTGGTGGTATTTAATTGCTGCTGGGCACTTTACTTTTTGTGCTATAAACAAAAAAATGCAAAAAATTTGAAAAAAAAAAAGTTTCTTTGTTTCTATTATAAAATTTTTCAAACAGGTAATTTTTCTCCTTCACTGATGTGCGTTGATGAGTCAGCACTGATGGGCACTAATAGGCGGCACTGACGGGCACTGATAGGCAGCACTGATGGGAACTGATAGGCAGCACTAATGAGGTGGCACGGATAGGCGGCACTGATAGGCAGCACTAATGGGGTGTCACAGATAGGCAGCACTGATAGGTGGCACTGACTGGCATCACTGCTGGGCACTGACTGGCGGCACTGCTAGGCATTGACTGGCACAACTGCTGGGCACTGACTGGCACAACCACTGGGCACTGACTGGTGGCACTGACTGTCAGCACTGCTGGGCTGCACTGATGGGTGGCACTGGTGGGCATAGGTGGGTGGCACCAGTGGGCACCGGTGGATGGCACTGCTGGGCACAGGTAGGTGGCACTTATGGAAGGCACTGCTGGGCACAGGTGTGTGGCACTGCTGGGTGGCACTGGTGGGCACTGCTGGGCACATGTGGGTGCACTGTTGAGCACAGGTGGCGCATTGCTGGGCACAGGTTGGTGGAACTGGTGGGTGGCACTGCTGGGCACTGATCATCAGGACACTGATCATCAGTGCCCTGATGATCGGTGCCGATCCCTGCGCTGACAACTGCCGGTTCTCGAGAGTACTTTCCTCACGCTCTGACAGCGTGAGGAAAGTGCAGCCGAGAACCGGCAATTGCATTTCCCGGTGATAAGTGTGTCATTGGACACGGCTGATCACATGGTAAAAAGCCGCTGTGATTGGCCTTTTACCACATCACATGATCAGCTGTGTCCGTAGGACACAGCGATCACAGATATTACCGGGTGCGTGCCCCTGGGGGCTCGCAGGAGAGCGCGTTCTGGGAGGACATCACATGACGCCCTCCCAGAACTGGCCGGCCGCAGTGTAGCCGTCATTTGGCTATCTGCGGTCGGCAGGTGGTTAAAGAAGACACTTTTTAAAGAGGCCTTAGCTTGATAAAAGGGGGAGAACTTTTGCTGGTTAGAGAGACTGCTGTTTGCTAAGGAACAACACTTTTACATGCCTACCGTCCCATCCAAAAATCTCCAGAATGCTATTCCTGGGAGTGGTGAGATATTGTGGCCAAAGTATCATAACTTTTTACAAAGTTGTTACTAGAACTTTATAACTATTTTTATTGAGCTGTAGTGCTCGTACTGTGCATGGTGATATAAACTGCCAATTATTTCATAATTGTATAGATCTTGTTGAATCATCAAGATGAGATGGTGTATAGGGAGATTGAGTGCTAATTTGTTGTATCAGGCTGTATTGGCTGTAAAATAGAGGTTCTTTTTTTTTCACTATATTGATGTGCTGCAAACAAATTGTTTTTAGGATGCATTTGAAGTGTATTTCAGTTTTTTTATTATAATATCAGAAGCAGTTTCCTCCCTCCCTTCGGCTGCGGGAGTTATGAGAAAATACACTGAATACTGAAATATAGTATTTTGAAAATCACTGATAAATCAAGGGTTTTGTTATTTTACTTTGCTACTGTATACATTTGAAGACTGACCTAATTGCAGTTTATCGTGGGTTATTCCTTTTGATCGTGTGTAGGAAATACTAATCACCAGTAAATTAGTTTGTATTAAAATATATATAAATATTTTTGTATATAAATAAATAATTTATTTATTAATCAGATTGGTGATATTTGCATATTTGGTAAGAAATCACATTGGTAAAAGAAAAAATAACATTAATATCAAATATGTATTGCTGCCTGTGACCCCACCTTATTTCCTGCCCATGTGATAGCCTGTGGTAGCAAGACAAAAAATTAAGGAAATTGATCATGCCCAGGGCATGACCTCACACATTTCTTGCCCTAAACTGACATTGCTGCTCCTAATTTTGTTGTTGAGTTTAAGAAAGCCCATGGTAAATCTACAGGTTTCTTCTTTCTTACTTTGGCAAATTGAAACAATCAATCTGATTGTTTTAGGAAGAGATTTTTTTTTTGTTTCTATCGCTTTTAAAGCTTTTCTAATTTATTTTTTTATTGGTGCCTGATATTTCCTGACTGGCAGTTTGCTGGTGTGTATGTGTACTTGTATAATGCAAATAAATAATAAACACTGAAAGTTTCTCTGGGGCAGATACTGGTTTGCCCTGTCTGTCCACCATGATATGGTGGGCTACATAACTAAATTAAATACTACCAAAAACAAGACTGATTATTTTATTTTGCTTTTTAACATTTATGGGTTGTGTGTTGTTCAGTTAAAATGGACCCATGTCCCCCAAATCTAAAACCATATCTCTGCATGCTGATATATAAATACATTCCATTCATATGTAAATTAAAATATTTTTTTCAATATTATACTGTAGACTGCATTGTACCTCATCCCTAATAAACAATTATGAAAATACCAAGAGAGAACATAATGGGACTTTACTGGTACAGTAATAGGACCAACTCGCATTCATAAGTTTACACATTTATTAGAGTACTTATTGAAGTGACATTATTTAAAAGCAATACATGGTTAACCAGCCCAAGTAGTATAGGCATTGTCTTTTATAGTATTGTATCCTACAAAGGTCAATGCGTTTCATTTGTTTAGCTTCTTCAGGACCATACAAATTGGAGGGAAGAGATCAATTGCCTTGGCTAAGAGAATATACATATATACACATACATAAATAATTAATCATACAAAATAAATTCCAAAAGAAACATAAACCTTAAAAAACAGTTCTCTTTTAACTCACATATCGATATAGATGGGGATGCATTGGCATTAATAGGTGGCACTGACTGGCACTGATGGGTGACACTGAAAGGCAGCTCAGATGGGCACTGATATGTGGCATTGATGTGCATATGTAGGCACTGATATGTGGCACTGATGTGGCACTGATGGGCACTGGTACGTGGCACTGATGAGCACTGACAGCTGGCACTGATGGACACTGACAGGTGGCACTGCTGGGGCTACACTGATAATCAGGCCACACTGATCATCAGTGCCCTGATGATCAGTGTACATGTTCCCTCCACGGAATCAGCGTGACAGCTCAAGAGGAGAGAAATGCCGATAACCGGCATTTCCCAGTTTACATGTGATCAGCTGTGATTGGACACAGCTGATCACATAACAGAGCCGACATCTTTGGCTCTTTCCGTGGACCGGTGATCCGCTGTGTCCGAGGGACACAGCAAACCGCTGATCACCGCACTGTACGCTCCCTGAGCCGCGCATGCGTGGTGAGAATGGGAGGACGTCATATGACGTCCTCCCAGAATGAGAGAACCACCTTGCGTCCGTCATATTACTATATGGCGGGCGGGAGGTGGTTAAGAAATCCCATCCCATGTCTTCATCTCTATCCTCCTTTGATTAAGTTTCACAACAATCAGGGGTGTTGTAGGTAGATGATACTTTATCTACATGTAGCACAGAACCCCGACTGGGCTGGGTTTTTGATTCCAGGTTTCGTTCTCTGATAGGCAAATGGCAGCCAGACACATAGTAGTTCACAGTCACTCAAGTCATAAAACAAACAGTGCATGTCTTTTTGCAATTTATTTGCTGATTAAAACTTGGATAGGGTGAGGGGAAGCCATGGGATACTCCAAAAACAGCCGGCAAAGATGCAACAGAAGACACTAAAGCTGATCTGCTCCTACAGGGTGTGACAACCCTCTTGAATGTGCAGGTTAAATGAACTTCAGTGCAGGAACTCCTCAACAGGAGTATAATCCTTGGTAAACTGTAATGATCTCGCCCAAAAGTGGCAAGGAAAGTCTTGAGGATCTTTATGGCTAGTACTCACTGGGTGCCGTGGGTACAATAAAGAGTCCTGTAGAGCTTCTTGCACTGCTTCAGGATACTCTGGATGGAGGTCCCCAAGCTCTAATTGGAGCTAACTGGAGCTGTGACCCTAAAAGGATTTCTTCAGTGCTGTAGCTGGCCACCCAGGGATGCCTCTGCCATCAGGCTTACTTCCCAAGGAACAAGAGACTGCTGTTCTAGCCCCAGACTGTTTATACCACTCTCAGCTCCTCACTCTCATGACCAGGGATTGGCTGAGAGTGCATGAATATGGAGCCGGGGTCAGACTCTCTCACATACTATATCCCATAATTCAGTGGGATGCAGGGGAAAGTATCTGAGCCTGTACCAGCAGAACCCAAACAGCCAAAAGCAAAAGATCACTGCTCCCCTGCTACAGGGAATCCAGAAACTAGATTTACATGAAACACTAGCAGCCTACCTAGGAGGGTGCAATATAGGAGATAGCAGAGGTTATGTCTCTTTCACAAGGACACTCAATCCAGACAAGTGAGTCTAGGTTAAATGAGGGCTGTTAAATCTGAATTCCATGACCTCTAAACATTCTAAAATAGCAAAACTTTACTAAAAATAAGAATAACATTCAGCTAAATCAGCATGTCTGGCCCCTGAAATATGTGACTTGCAGGTAAACACAATAATAAGACATTTTCTTTTTCCTTTTAAAATTAGCATGCTTTTCAGAATGTATAATGAGCACCTTTATATAAATCACAGAGCTTGTGTCTGGCAGTATTTATCTGGATTACACAAATGCAAGGCAAAGGCAAATCAGTGTCAGATCCAGTTTCTCTTCTTACTGAATCAGTTTAAGCTACTTATACAAATTACCGTGCTGTATTACACAGGGACTACTAGACAGGTGGGCACACATGACTCAGAATGTACATAGATAGCAGTTACTGAACTTCGGCAACTTGAAATACTTTCAGCCCAAGCAGGAAGAAATCAAACGGAGCTTTTGTACATTAATCTTGACAGTCCATTTTTTAAAGTACCAGATAATGAGGCATTACTTACATAAACTACACACAGCGACAAATTACAGTCCCCTTTAGAAAAATAGTGCAATTCTCTAAAGTACACAGTTTGTCAAAATAAGCAAATTTAAATGGTGCTCCCCAAATGAGTCTGTACACTATACACTATAAACATTCCTTCACTCATTTGTGTGGCTGGGGATCTCACCTGCCAAGCATGGCAATTTGATATAATCCCACCCAATTCAGTGTACTCCACCCTGTTGAACCTACCGAGCTGTTTCTGACAAGGGTCAGTTTATAATGTCCCATGTCTACTACAGTGACTTCCAGCCTCCATGGGGGGTCACTGCTATGCAACATAGATGTTTACAGTTGTCCAAGGTCCAAGGTGGACCAATGTAACGTTGGCGTACCAAAACTTCATCTTGAAGTTACCACAGCGCATAACTACTATTTTGCACACTACAGCACATATGCACTACTTCAAGATGAAGTTTAGGTACGCCAACGTTACATTAGTCCACCTTGGACCACTGTAAATATCTATGTGTCATAGAAGGGAGACCCCCATGGAAGCTGGAAGTCACTGTAGTAGACATGGCTACTACTTTGATTGCTACTACCTTCCAGTTCTTCTACCGCATAGCTGAATTGTTGCTTATTAAACACAGGAGGTTGCTCACAGAGCACAGTCAACAGTCAGAGAAGACTTTGCATTTTTCTCACTGAATTCAGTGGGGTTGATTTACTAAAGGCAAATAGTCTGCGCACTTCAAGTGCACTGCAAGTGCAGTTGCTTTATATCCAAGGGGAAGCTCTGAAATGAGGTGAAGCTCTGCTGATTTCTTTAATCCAATCATGTGCAAGCAAAAATGCTGTTTTTTTTATTTTCCTTTCATGTTCCCCTCAGATCTAGAGCAACTGCACTTTCCAAGTGCACAGCCTATTTGCCTTTAGTAAACCAACCCCAAAGTGTGCACTGATTGGACAAGTAGGAGATTGTGACATCACCACTCTGTCTCTCTACTTTGTCCAATCAGAAAATGCACTGCATTCATTGAGAAAACATCCATCAATCATGTTTACCTGTAATGAGGACCCCTAGTTCCTAAAAAACCTGTTTCTTTCTGTGATATTTAATTTCATGCTAATCAAATTAAAGTATAGCTAAAGTTAATTTTAGTTTTGTTTTTCTAAGACTAGGGAATGATTAAAACCATTCTCAGAATTACCTTCACATCCTGTTCCACAGACATAGGTGTCCTTTTATGACACAGAGAATAGCTGTGATTCAGAGGATCGCAGCTATTCTCTGGTCATTCACAGTTTATAACCCTCAGGAGAACATGTTCAGCCCTTCACTGGAGATCTTTGTTCTCCCTCCAGATTCTCCAGCCCAGAGCTGGAGAATCGGAGGGACCGCAAACTAAGCAGAGATAATTTACCTCTGCTTAGTAAACTGATCTTTTACTGTAATCTCGCGAGATTATAGTAAAAGCAGCCGTTTTCCAGCGTTTGTAGATTGTTCTCCCTTCGTTTGGAGAACTGATCTACATATGCTTCATAAACGGCATTCACAGGAAAACTGTGTTCTCCAAGAATGCCGGAGAACTGAGCAGCGATCTATTACTGCTGGTTCGTAAACGGACACCATAATAGGAAGTAAGAAAAAAATCTCTCCAAAGTAAGGGAAATCACCTCTTACATGGTTATTACTGGGTCTGACTAATTGGATAGAATTAAAGTGTTGTTTAGGTTTGACCTCATATTATATGTGTTTTGGATAAAAAGGAAGAGAAAAAGATAGAATGTATCTCTCCAATGAGAACTTAGACAGCAATAACAGATGACAGAGATTCTAAACTTTCCCTGCTCTATCCACCCCCCTCCCCTTAAAAAAAGAGATTTTTCTTTAGATACACTTTAACTGTTTCCTGACCGCCCTATAGCAGATATACTGGGTGCCCAAAATCACGTATATAGACATGATTTTGCATTTCTGGGTAGGGGGCACTCATGATGCGCTCCCGTGCCCTCCCCGTGCAGCCATTCGCGGCAGCGGCTGTCAATCACCAGGCCAGTGATTACTTGCTGGCACCTGTTGATTGCCAAGGATGTCTAACGGGGAGGAGAACTGTATGTAAACAATACAGTTCTCCTCCCTGTCAGCTCGTGCACACTTCTTTGGATGGCTGCCATCCATAGCAGTGAGATTACAGTAAAGCACACACACACAGCTTACTGTGAAACAGCACACAGTTAACCCTTTGATCGCCCCCTCATGTTAAGCCCTTCCTGTCCATTGCCATTAGTACAGTGTCAGTGTTTTTTTTTTAGCACTGATCACTGTATTGGTCTCATTTGGGATGTCAGTGACACCAAAACAGTTCCCCCCAGTGTCAGAATGCCTGCCGCAGTCCCGCAGTCCTGCTATAAGTTGCTGATCGCTGCCATTACTAGTAAAAAAAAAAAAAAAATTTCAGTATCTATACCACCATTTGTAAATGCCATAATTTTCATGTAAGCCAATTAATTTACACGTATTGGGATTTTTTTTTTTAGCAAAGATATGTAGTAGTATACATTTTGGCCTAAATTTATGACAAAATTAGATTTTTTACATTTTCTTACTGGACATATTTAATACAAATATAAAAAAAAAGTAAAAAATATAGTTTTTTTTTTCTCAAAATTGACAGTCTTTTTGTTTTCATAGCGCAAAAAATAAAAAACGCACATGCCATCAAATTCCATTGAAAGAAAGCTCAATTCGTGGGAAAAAAAGGATGTAAATTTAATTTGGGTGCAGTGTTGCATGACCGTGCAATTGTCAGTTAAAATAATGCAGTGCCGTAACGCAAAACATGGCCTGGTAGGGAAGGGGGGTAAATCCTCAGGAGGGCAAGTACAACGGAATTAAAAGTCCCACACTGGCAAACTTTGCTTCAGTGGCAGGAACTGGTCCCCTGAAGTCTGCAGGGAACCCAACACTTTGTCAACATCTGTGATCCCTTGCAGCCTTCGCAGGTTTTTTGTGCAGACCACACATCACCATTCTCTCCTGCAGTAAAGTAAACTCAAATTCCTCCCATTTTTTTCTGGTCTATAACATATTAGGAGCTCCCTAATGTAAGATAAGGCCACCATGAAGAACAGTAGGGTTTGTTTACTAAAGCTGGAGGGTGCAACATCAGGCTCCCTTCTGCATAGAAACCAATCAGCTTCCAGGTTTTATTGCCAAAGCTTAATTGAACAAGCTGAGGTTAGTAACTGATCGGCTACCATGCACAGCTGCATCAGATACTGAGTGCTCCAGTTTTCGTAAATCCACCCCAGTG